GTAACTGGGCTAAAGGGTATTAAATTTTAATTTTTAAATTTTAAAAATAATTCATAAATTTCCAATATTTATGGAATTTTTTTCCATTTAAATCCCTTTAAAATTATCCCCTTTTTTTTTTAAAGGCCATAGTTGCATTCCGGTATTAAAAAGAATGTTAAAATTTGATCTTCATAAAAACCTTATTCTGAAGTCAAATTTTTAACATTCCATTCAAAAGATCAACTACCTGTTTTATTAGTGCCCAATAAATTTTAACAAAATTAGCAAGAATTTTATCACCCCTAAAAAAATTTTTACCCAAATTAACATTTATTTGACTTCTGATAAGATTTTGCTGAAAATTTTCACGAATGACCTAATAGATCAATTTACAACACTGCAATTTGGTTAACTATATTTAAACTGCCTGATTTTTTATAAAATTTCAATTAAACAAGCCAAATGTCAATAAAAAAAAAAACAAATTTATTTATTGTCCTTACTTGAATTAAAAATTTATGAAAACAATATACTAACACCATAATACTAAATACCTTTAAACCAACCATTTTCTTATTACAAATATCATTGAAACTTCTTTAGGTTTCCTAATACCTCTTAAAAATCATTGAATGATTATTGACTTCCATTCCAAATAATTTGCTATCAACCAATAAAAAAGGATATTCATTTTATAACACCTTTGTTCATACTCAATAGTTTTCTGTTTACAATAGACACTAAGTTTTAATGGCCTAAATTAAAATGTCCTTTATACAAAATTTTTCAAAATAAATTTACCCCTTTATGAATTTTATCATAATATTAAATCAAACAAGCAATTAGGATTGAAATATTATTAAAAAACAATAATTCTTATATTTATTTAAATAAAACATTCAACACAACTTTAAATGCCTTTCGGTTTCATTTTAGATGCTTGTTCATCCTAACCAAAATTTAAAAGATTAAATCATTTTTGAAGTTTATTACATGCCTTAAGAAACAAACTCTATAAACTAGCTTTTTTAACATGTATTTGGAAATTTAAAATTTAGTGCAAAATGTCCCCAAATATGAAAATTAAAAACACTAGACTACAAATTAATTTTTTGACTCATATATTTTAAAATGACCCACAATAACCCCCAAATTGTATTAACAAATTTCAATATTTATCCTGAAGATTCTTGAAACTAAAAATTTTTGCAAGTACTTATATACACTATTACAATAATTTCTAACATTTTAAAAACCAAAATTATTTTTTAGCAAATTCCTATATGAAACAAGCTGTAATAACCCCTTAATTATTGCTTCCAAAATGATTAAAAATGAATTTTAAAAACCCTAAAAGGGAAAAGCTTTTTCACCTTTCTTCCAAATAAATTTTTAGCCTTTTCGGTTTGCTTTAAAACAAAAGAACAAAGTTCAAAAAGGAAAATTTGAAAATCCAAAATTTCCTTTTTTCTTTAAGGATAATTTTAATGTTTGAAAAATTTAATCTAAATTTTAAATTTTGAAAATTTTTTTTCCAATATAAAAAATGTACATTAAAATTTTAAAAAAAACCCTTTTCCAACCTTAAAGGTCCTTTAAATTTTTTAAAAGTTCTTTTTTCTTAAAATGCAATTATTTTTGCATTCCGTATTTAAAAAATTTAATGGAACAAATAACTTATTTGAATCTTTTTAACAATAAAAAAGGCAAATCCCTTTATACAAAGTTTCCCAAAACTAACTACAAAATACAAGTTTTACCACCATACAATGATTTTACCAAATTTAAATTTCCAATGCTTCTGTGAAGTTTACTAGCAACTTAAATCTGTATAGACCTTTGATTAAATTTTGACCAAGCACATTTTTTAATATTTTTAAAATAATCTGTTTTTACCAAATATTTGCTATTTCTTAAACAACAAAGTTAATGAACCCTTTAAATATTGCTTCCCAAGTATAAAAATGAAATTTTGAAAATCATTCCAAATTTGCAATAAACAAAACGATACACCAAATTTCCTTTTTTATCAGGACCAATTGAATTAAACTTCTTTAGTGTTTACCTTAAATCCTCTAAAAATTCTGGAAGAAGTATTTAAATTTCTTATTGGTAGCAAAAAATTTTGCATATCAATTTCCAAAAAAGGGGTTTATAAGTGTCTTAAACCTTTGTAAATTATCACCAGAATGTTTTTTTTTTAGAAAAGGAATAACTGTGTTAATATTTTATAAATTAAAATAATAACTTCTTAAATAAAATTTTCTCAAATTTCACCTGGCCTTACCATCTTATGATAAAGATAAGTTTAAACTATCATATAAATTTAGTGTAAATTACCAAATAGAAACATTTCATCATATTTGACTTAACCCTTTTAAGGCCAAGTCCTTCTTAATTTGAAAATTTCAATGATTTCATTTAATATTATTGAATCATTTAACAATTTTAAACAATCCTAAAATGTATTATTGAAGCTTTATCTATTTTTTAGGGGGAATGAACCAACATCATAGGAACACCCAAAAAATTTTTATTCTATGGTTTATGCAAAAAAAAATATTAGTGCCGACAAGAAATTCCCCTAAAAACAAAATTGAACAGATAACTTTCTATTTAATATATTTGCTAATAATTTAATAACCAAACCATAAAATGCAATTTTACTGTCTTCAAGTATAAAATTCAAATGAGAATTTCCCTACAGCATTCTTTAATTGAAAAATTTTTTGCATCCATTATTTACAAATATACAATTAAACTTTCATTTTAAGAACACCTTAAAAACTTTGAAATAATTTTTTCTTAAAATGCGAAATAGATTGACACTTCTGTTAAAAAAGGATAATACTGAATTTTTCTAAACCTTTTCATTTTCCAAATTATGCTTTTTCGTGCTATAGAACAAAGACAACAAATGTTATAAGTCCAATTTTTAGTAGACTCACATTTATTCATAACTTTTTAAAAATGTCATATCCTCCAATTGATATTAATGCTAAAAGTAATCTAAGAATGATGCTGACATTATGTGTATTTTAAAGTACAACAATTTTTGCAAAATACTTAAGAGGATTACATTCAGAATTCTATATCACATTTCATATTTTAATCAATATATGTTCAGCAAAAATAAAAAGAAGAACCTAAATGAAAATTTCATTTCTTAAAAAACAAATTTATTTAAAAGCATAGAAAATACATTCATTATATATGAAAATGAAATATTTCGACCGTTTCAAATCGACGTTACAACGCCCCTGACTAGGTATTAAATTTTAGTATTTAACTAATATATGATTGATATACATACCCATAAAGTGCATTTTACCATCTTATCTTTAAATTTAATCTTTTCTCAGGCCATATGCATTCGAATCTGAAAATATTTGCATGTATTCATAATATTCAATATCAATTAATTTTTAACAATTCCATGAATACAGAACAACTAACTTTTTATACAAATCTTCAATACTAATTTTTAACAAGATGTCGGGCAATTTTTCAACCACATACAAAATAATGATTTTACCAACAAATTTATACAATTCTTCCAAATAGTTTGCTTACAAAATACTAAGTAAACAATGATATATGATTTCCACTTTTTGTCACACTACAATTGGTTCTAGGTAATTTAAAATGCCCTGCTGATTTACTAAAATTGTTTATCTAACAGCAAATTTCAATAAATGCCAAATCAAAATGTTCTTTCTTTCCAATTTTAAAAATGCAAAAGGAAACCATTCATGAATTCGCGATAGCAAAATTGACTTAACATTTTTCATTGATTATTGGAGCAAATATACATTGAAAACTTTTTCAGGACATGTATTCCCTTATAAATAGTTTAATAATTTACCTTCTTCCTCATTAGTATGAAACTAGTTTTGACTTTTTAATTCTCTTAAAGAGTAATCACTGAGTGGATATAATTTGTTACATTTATTACTAAATAGTGCTTTACTTAAAATCGAGACATGCTTTTATATTTTATAATTTGAAGTTCCTTTTCTACAAACTTATTCTACAAATAATTCTACGCATTATGATTTCATAATATCATTAATTGATAATTATGACTTACACTACACCCATTTTTTTGGCCATTTTTGCATTCATTTGGAGCCAAATATGACAATTGAAACCTTCTTTCAGGTGTTTTACCATGTAAATCACCTCTTCAGACCAAAATGTACTTGGAATGGATAGTATTGTGTATTTTTCTTCTCAATTAGGTAGCCAGAAACTAGAATGTATTGCACTTATCTAAGTTTCTCAATAAATAAAGGGAGGTAATTCACTGAAGTTGTGCATAATCACTCCCTTTGTGTACATTTATCTACCAGAATTAGTGCTTTTTCTGTCTATAGACACATCAGAGACACTAAAGCTGTGTTATAATTGTGCCTTATATGATTGTGAAAAAGTAGATCAACATTTACTTAGCAATAAAACTTTTTCTACAAAATAATTCTACCCTTGGCCATTATGATGCTCATTCAATTATGCATTAAATAGTCATAAAGTCTAAAAACTATGGCATTATACATTGTGAGTGTGTAAATATGTATTACCAAATAGAAAACAATAAATTCTAATCACTATTTTGCATCTTAACCACATAATAAGAGGCTATTCAGAGGCTACCTAACTTTAATTATGCTACATTTTTCAATGGATTTCAATTTCTAAGTATGTATTGATATTCATGCCCTGAAACCAAGTAAATTTTAAGACAGAATCCTTAAAATGCTATTTATTTGAAGCTTTTATGCTATCTATGCCTGTAAATGAAACACAAAACATTCTTATATGGGAAACAGACATAGAAGCAATTTATTTGTGACATTCTATGTTATTATATGAGCACAAAATGGAAAAATATTAGTGCCGAGCGAAGAAATGTCCGCCCCTAAAATAAGTCGAAAAGTTAACCGAAACAGCACCCTAGACTATTTCTAGTATTAATCTATTAGTTTTGAACCTGACAATATGCATTTGTATTGATATACCTGCAACACCCATCAAAAGTGGCCAATGTGCTTACATCAGGTCCTGTCAAGTTATACATAAGTCTTCAAACCTGGCATGTGTATATCCAATGTACAGCATTTCTTTGAAATCTGAAAAAATATTTTTAATGATTTATTCAATCAACATATGCACACAATTAATTATCACTCAATTCACTGTTTAAAGAAAACACAAACCATTATTAACTTTTAAGTTAATACTCTTCTTCATATGTAAACAACATTGACCCCCACAACATTATCTGCTGTAAACACAAACAGTTGCATTGAAATAATGAAATTTTATACCTAGACAGGCTGATATACATCCATTCTTCCCAAAATATCAGCTTTTTGTGGCGTTATTCAATGAAGTTCAAAGTAAATAACAAATGAATTATGACAGTTCCAATTTCCCTCTTCTTTAGGTCAAGAACTTCTATATTGATATTTCCATAGAACTTTACATTAGTAAGAAATCGGTCCCTGATCCTAAACCTTAAAATTGGAGTTTTCATGCTAAAGACGGGTAATTTTTCTGCAGAATGAAAATGCCTGACACATAAAAAATGTTCCTGTATATTATAGGGGTAGGCCAACCAAAATTTTTTGCAAAATGACTTCAAAGAGGATTACCCCCCATTCATTGGAAATTTTGCTGATCACAGGACTGACATACACTTTTTATAAATGCAAATATCCAATCAAAATTATCACAGAGACTCATTGAAATATTTCATTTTCTTTTCAGAAAAACAATGTGTGTTCTTTTTAAATTAGTTTTTATCTAAAATACCATTTCAACACCATGAAATTGAACGGGTTTCCCTGCATTTTTTACAATGCTGGCTTTACAAGCCCTGACAAGGAAATTTAATTTTGTTTATATTAATAAAATGAATTGAAAAAACCATTATGACTTACCCAAGTCATTTAAATTGATTCCCTTTTTTCTAAGGGCATATGTCATTCCGATATCTGAAAAAATGTTAGATGTTTTTTTCTTAAATATTTAAACTGAAGCATTTTAATTCATAAAAATCACTAATGCAAACTCCTGTTTTCATTAGAAGTGCTTTAAAAACAATTTTAACAAAAGGTGTAAAATTTCCCAATAAAAAAGAGTAAATTTTTTCAAAATTTTAAATTTTTTCCATAATTCTATTAAATTTACTAGCAAAAATTAAAAACTATGATGATACTATGGATTAAATATTTTACAACATAGCAACATTTGGTTAACAATTTAAACTGCCCTCTTATTTTTTTCAATATTTGCTTATATATCTTAAAACAAGAAAATTAAAAAATCCAAATCTTTATTAATTTTGTCTCTTTCAAATGGAATAAAAGCAATTTGGAAACATTCCATGGAAAATTACGCAAGAATGCCCAAAATCTGACTTTACACCCATTTTTTTCATTTTGCTTCATTTGGAGCAAAATAAATGCTTCTTCAGGTGTTTTACAATTAAATCCTTTCAGACAATTCTTGAAGAATATTTTATTTCCTCAATTATTCCAAATAAATTATTCCTTACTGTTTAAAAAAAAACCTAATTGTCATATACCTTTTCATTAACTCGATTTCATAAAATTTTTATAAGGCTAAAATTTTAAAATAACCTTCTTTCAGGTGTTTTACCATGTAAATCACCTCTTCAGACCAAAATGTACTTGGAATGGATTAGTATTGTGTATTTTCTTCTCATTTAGGTAGCCTGAAACTAGAATTTATGCACTTATCTAATTTTCTCAATAAATAAAGGGAGGTAATTCACTGAAGTTGTGCATAATCACACCCTTTGTGTACATTTATCTACCAGAATAAGTGCTTTTACTGTTTATAGACACATCAGAGACACTAAAGCTGTGTTATAATTGTGCCTAATATGATTGTGAAAAAGTAGATCAACTTTTACTTATCAATAAAACTTTTTCTACAAAATAATTCTACCCTTGGCCATTATGATGCTCATTCAATTATGCATTAAATAGTCATAAAGTCTAAACACTATGGCATTATACATTGTGAGTGTGTAAATATGTATTACCAAATAGAAAACAATAAATTCTAATCACTATTTCGCATCTTAACCACATAATAAGAGGCTATTCAGAGGCTACCTAACTTTAATTATGCTACATTTTTCAATGGATTTCAATTTCTAAGTATGTATTGATATTCATGCCCTGAAACCAAGTTAATTTTAAGACAGAATCCTTAAAATGCTATTTATTTGAAGCTTTTATGCTATCTATGCCTGTAAATGAAACACAATACATTCTTATATGGGAAACAGACATAGAAGCAATTTCTATGTGACATTCTATGTTATTATATGAGCAAAATGGAAAAATATTTGTGCCGAGCGAAGAAATGTCCGCCCCTAAAATAAGTCGAAAAGTTAACCGAAACAGCACCCTAGACTATTTCTAGTATTAATTTATTAGTTTTGAACCTGACAATATGCATTTGTATTGATATACCTGCAACACCCATCAAAAGTGGCCAATGTGCTTACATCAGGTCCTGTCAAGTTATACATAAGTCTTCAAACCTGGCATGTGTATATCCAATGTACAGCATTTCTTTGAAATCTGAAAAATATTTTTAATGACCAAGGTCAACATTATTATCATCAACATATCACCAATTAATTATCACTCAAATTCACTGTTTAAAGAAAACACAAACCATTATTAACTTTTAAGTAACAATAATACTCTTCTTCATATGTAAACAATGCTTGTAGATTGACCCCCTTGACACATTATCTGCTGTAAACACAAACAGTTGCATTGAAATAATGAAATTTTATACCTAGACAGGCTGTATACATCCATTCTTCCAAAATATCAGCTTTTCGTGGCGTATCAATGAAGTCAAAGTAAAACAAATGAATTATGACAGTTCCAATTTCCCTCTCTTTAGGTCAGACACTCATATTGATATTTCCATAGACTTACATTATAAGAAATGGTCCCTGATCCTACCTTAAAATTGAGTTTTCATGCTAAAGAGGTAATTTTTCTAGCAGAATGAAATGCCTGACACATAAAAATGTTCCTGTTATATAGGGGTAGCCAACCAAATTTTTTGCAAAATGACTTCAAAGAGGATTACCCCCCATTTCATTGAAATTTTCTGCTGATCACAGGACTGACATACACTTTTTATAAATGCAAATATCCAAGTCAAAATTATCACAGAGACTCATGAAATATTTCATTTTCTTCAGAAAACAATGTAGTGTTACTTTTTAAATTAGTTTTTATACTTAAAAATACCCCACATTCATCCAATCACCTCATGTATAAATTGACTCATACGGTTTTCCCTGCACTTTTTTTCAGCCAATCGCTGGCCGTGTTACAATGCGTTACCCTGACCTAAAGGGAATATTAAATGTTTAGTATTCTAATATCTAATAATAAATGAAGTTGCATATACAATTACCAATTATATGGATGCATTTTCACCACTCTTAAGTCATTTAAAACTTTGAAGTTCCCTTTTTTCTAACAGGCGCCACTATGTCGCATTCCGGATATTCTGAAAAAGAATGTTAGCATGTGATTTTCATAAATAATTCATTATTCTGAAGTCAATTTTGTAACACCTTCCATAAAATCACTCAGATAGCAAAACTACACTGTTTTCATTACAGAAGTGCTTCAAAATACTAATTTTCTAACAAAAGGATGTAGCAGGGAGCAATTTTATCACCCCACCCATAACAAAAGAAGTGATTTTTCACCCAAATTTCAACATTTTATTACCAATAGACTTCCTGAATGAAGATTTAGCTTAGCAAACATACTTAATAACTACTGTATAGTGACCTGACTATGGATTACACATTATTTGTACACACATAGCAACATTTTGGGTGTAACTAGGTATTTTAAAACTGCCCCTGCTGTATTTTTTTACTCCAAATATTTGCTTATATAGTCTTAAATACAAGCCAAAATGTCAATAAAATGCCAAAATTCTTTATATATATCTTGTCTCTCTCTCACATGGATATTAAAAAATGCAATATATGGAAAAACCAAGTTCCACTGGACTTAACAGCACAGTAATAGCCTAAAATCTGACCTCTACACCCATTTTTTGGCCATTTTTGCATTCATTTGGAGCCAAATATGACAATTGAAACCTTCTTTCAGGTGTTTTACCATGTAAATCACCTCTTCAGACTAAAATGTACTTGGAATGGATAGTATTGTGTATTTTCTTCTCAATTAGGTAGCCAGAAACTAGAATTTATGCACTTATCTAAGTTTCTCAATAAATAAAGGGAGGTAATTCACTGAAGTTGTGCATAATCACACCCTTTGTGTACATTTATCTACCAGAATTAGTGCTTTTTCTGTTTATAGACACATCAGAGACACTAAAGCTGTGTTATAATTGTGCCTAATATGATTGTGAAAAAGTAGATCAACTTTTACTTATCAATAAAACTTTTTCTACAAAATAATTCTACCCTTGGCCATTATGATGCTCATTCAATTATGCATTAAATAGTCATAAAGTCTAAAAACTATGGCATTATACATTGTGAGTGTGTAAATATGTATTACCAAATAGAAAACAATAAATTCTAATCACTATTTTGCATCTTAACCACATAATAAGAGGCTATTCAGAGGCTACCTAACTTTAATTATGCTACATTTTTCAATGGATTTCAATTTCTAAGTATGTATTGATATTCATGCCCTGAAACCAAGTAAATTTTAAGACAGAATCCTTAAAATGCTATTTATTTGAAGCTTTTATGCTATCTATGCCTGTAAATGAAACACAAAACATTCTTATATGGGAAACAGACATAGAAGCAATTTATTTGTGACATTCTATGTTATTATATGAGCAAAATGGAAAAATATTAGTGCCGAGCGAAGAAATGTCCGCCCCTAAAATTAGTCGAAAAGTTAACCGAACCAGCACCCTAGACTATTTCTAGTATTAATCTATTAGTTTTGAACCTGACAATATGCATTTGTATTGATATACCTGCAACACCCATCAAAAGTGGCCAATGTGCTTACATCAGGTCCTGTCAAGTTATACATAAGTCTTCAAACCTGGCATGTGTATATCCAATGTACAGCATTTCTTTGAAATCTGAAAAATATTTTTAATGACCAAGGTCAACATTATTCATCATCAACATATCACCAATTAATTATCACTCAAATTCACTGTTTAAAGAAAACACAAACCATTATTAACTTTTAAGTAACAATAATACTCTTCTTCATATGTAAACAATGCTTGTAGATTGACCCCCTTGACACATTATCTGCTGTAAACACAAACAGTTGCATTGAAATAATGAAATTTTATACCTAGACAGGCTGTATACATCCATTCTTCCAAAATATCAGCTTTTCGTGGCGTATCAATGAAGTCAAAGTAAAACAAATGAATTATGACAGTTCCAATTTCCCTCTCTTTAGGTCAGACACTCATATTGATATTTCCATAGACTTACATTATAAGAAATGGTCCCTGATCCTACCTTAAAATTGAGTTTTCATGCTAAAGAGGTAATTTTTCTAGCAGAATGAAATGCCTGACACATAAAAATGTTCCTGTTATATAGGGGTAGCCAACCAAATTTTTTGCAAAATGACTTCAAAGAGGATTACCCCCCATTTCATTGAAATTTTCTGCTGATCACAGGACTGACATACACTTTTTATAAATGCAAATATCCAAGTCAAAATTATCACAGAGACTCATGAAATATTTCATTTTCTTCAGAAAACAATGTAGTGTTACTTTTTAAATTAGTTTTTATACTTAAAAATACCCCACATTCATCCAATCACCTCATGTATAAATTGACTCATACGGTTTTCCCTGCACTTTTTTTCAGCCAATCGCTGGCCGTGTTACAATGCGTTACCCTGACCTAAAGGGAATATTAAATGTTTAGTATTCTAATATCTAATAATAAATGAAGTTGCATATACAATTACCAATTATATGGATGCATTTTCACCACTCTTAAGTCATTTAAAACTTTGAAGTTCCCTTTTTTCTAACAGGCGCCACTATGTCGCATTCCGGATATTCTGAAAAAGAATGTTAGCATGTGATTTTCATAAATAATTCATTATTCTGAAGTCAATTTTGTAACACCTTCCATAAAATCACTCAGATAGCAAAACTACACTGTTTTCATTACAGAAGTGCTTCAAAATACTAATTTTCTAACAAAAGGATGTAGCAGGGAGCAATTTTATCACCCCACCCATAACAAAAGAAGTGATTTTTCACCCAAATTTCAACATTTTATTACCAATAGACTTCCTGAATGAAGATTTAGCTTAGCAAACATACTTAATAACTACTGTATAGTGACCTGACTATGGATTACACATTATTTGTACACACATAGCAACATTTTGGGTGTAACTAGGTATTTTAAAACTGCCCCTGCTGTATTTTTTTACTCCAAATATTTGCTTATATAGTCTAAAATACAAGCCAAAATGTCAATAAAATGCCAAAATTCTTTATATATATTTTGTCTCTCTCTCACATGGATATTAAAAAATGCAATATATGGAAAAAACCAAGTTCCACTGGACTTAACAGCACAGTAATAGCCTAAAATCTGACTTCTACACCCATTTTTTGGCCATTTTTGCATTCATTTGGAGCCAAATATGACAATTGAAACCTTCTTTCAGGTGTTTTACCATGTAAATCACCTCTTCAGACCAAAATGTACTTGGAATGGATAGTATTGTGTATTTTCTTCTCAATTAGGTAGCCAGAAACTAGAATGTATGCACTTATCTAAGTTTCTCAATAAATAAAGGGAGGTAATTCACTGAAGTTGTGCATAATCACTCCCTTTGTGTACATTTATCTACCAGAATTAGTGCTTTTTCTGTCTATAGACACATCAGAGACACTAAAGCTGTGTTATAATTGTGCCTAATATGATTGTGAAAAAGTAGATCAACTTTTACTTATCAATAAAACTTTTTCTACAAAATAATTCTACCCTTGGCCATTATGATGCTCATTCAATTATGCATTAAATAGTCATAAAGTCTAAAAACTATGGCATTATACATTGTGAGTGTGTAAATATGTATTACCAAATAGAAAACAATAAATTCTAATCACTATTTTGCATCTTAACCACATAATAAGAGGCTATTCAGAGGCTACCTAACTTTAATTATGCTACATTTTTCAATGGATTTCAATTTCTAAGTATGTATTGATATTCATGCCCTGAAACCAAGAAAATTTTCAGACAGAATCCTTAAAATGCTATTTATTTGAAGCTTTTATGCTATCTATGCCTGTAAATGAAACACAAAACATTCTTATATGGGAAACAGACATAGAAGCAATTTATTTGTGACATTCTATGTTATTATATGAGCAAAATGGAAAAATATTAGTGCCGAGCGAAGAAATGTCCGCCCCTAAAATTAGTCGAAAAGTTAACCGAAACAGCACCCTAGACTATTTCTAGTATTAATCTATTAGTTTTGAACCTGACAATATGCATTTGTATTGATATACCTGCAACACCCATCAAAAGTGGCCAATGTGCTTACATCAGGTCCTGTCAAGTTATACATAAGTCTTCAAACCTAGCATGTGTATATCCAATGTACAGCATTTCTTTGAAATCTGAAAAATATTTTTAATGACCAAGGTCAACATTATTCATCATCAACATATCACCAAATAATTATCACTCAAATTCACTGTTTAAAGAAAACACAAACCATTATTAACTTTTAAGTAACAATAATACTCTTCTTCATATGTAAACAATGCTTGTAGATTGACCCCCTTGACACATTATCTGCTGTAAACACAACAGTTGCATTGAAATAATGAATTTTTATACCTAGACAGGCTGTATACATCCATTCTTCCAAAATATCAGCTTTTCGTGGCGTAATCAATGAAGACAAAGTACAACAATGAATTATGACAGTTCCAAT